ATCCGGACTCCTGAGCCTGAGGAATGCTAATGTTCCGAGCTGCTTCTATTAATGCCGAGAAGGTGGGTAGCTTGTGATTAACTAGAAATATTTTGTAATTGCTCAATGCCCCTTCTAGACAGATTTGAACTAGATAACCCTCCTCCACTGCTTCATGGCAATCCACGGCCTTGTCCTGAAACCTTTTGACGTAGTCAAGGATGTCTTCACTTTCCTGCTGCTTTTCTTTATACAATGTAAGTGTGGTCACCTTCTCCGCCATTTGAAAGAACTTAGAGTGGAATTTGTTAACCATTTCCTCCCAACTTTGGACAGAGTTTGGGGCCAAATTAACATACCAACTATATGCTCAGTCGGTGAGGGACTTAGAGCATTCTCTTTGCCGGAGGACGTGGTTTGAACCATGAATACCTAGAGTCTCGATGAATCGCACAACATGTTCTCGAGCATTTCCTTGTTTGCCATCGAACTTGATGAACTTCGACACTGTATACCCCTCAGGGTATGGATAGCTCAGCATCTCAATGGGGTAAGGCAGCTTGACGTCTGGATCAGGCAAAGAGGGTAAGGTCCTTTTGCCCCGTTCGAGATCGAACATGGCCTGCACATCGGCGAGAGTGAGAAACTGTTGAGGGAGAGAGTTTGATGGTGGTATTCCCAGAACTTGGCTTATGGACCCGAAGACTGAGCTAGGGGCGACTTGGCCATTCTGGTGCTGTGAATTCATCATTGGTGAAGACATTTGACGATACTAGCCATCAGCGCCTATAAACAGTCCAGTTGGTGATGGGATATTGAATTGAGGCCCGTAGAGTCCACCGCACGGCGCCGTTATACCAGGTTGTGCTTGTAAATTTGTTGTCGGCACCAAAGGAGGCCCGCTTGGTGCTTGGGTAACATTTACTGGTGACGTAACAAGATTAGGTACGGACAGAGCTCCCTTTTGCGCCATCATGCCCCTTGTATTTGCCTGGACACCAACACTCGCCGGAGCCCCATTCATTACACCAGAACCTCCCCTAGTCACCATTGGATCTTGGCTTGGCACGCCATGGAGCCCGGGCGTAGGCAAACCGCTGCCGCCTACTGCGGTTTGAGCATGTGTTACTGTGGCCGTGTTGCCATGAGCTATGGGCCGACTAGTGCCTACTTCTCCTTGGATTTGATTTTGTGCTCCGGCGGGAATGACTCCACCACCAGCTTGATTTCCATTTGGTGCCGGTGCAAAATTAGAACTCATCACCAACATGGTGTGAATGAGATTCTGAAGAGTGGTAAGAATCTCTTGCTGAGTATTTTGAAGTCCTTGAATGGCTTCAACTAATGTCGGGTGTGTGTCTTATATTCTGCATAATCCTTATGATTATTGGTATTTTATATGTATTTGGATTGAATTGTAGAGTTCAGAATCTATGAGAGTCTATTATGTGTAGGGTGTAGGGTTTTATTAATTATACGGTGTAGGAGAGGGTTCAAGAAAGGAGTTGGAAAATTCGAAGATCTTCAAAGATCCTTGAAGAACAACTTCGAATTCTCTAGAAGAAATGTGAGAGGCTTAGATTCTTCAATAGTCTCAACTCAAGAACACAAGAGTAAAGGAGATGATGGAGATAAGAGATTGGGTGAAGAAGAAGGCAAAATGGCTATAGAGAGAATAATGACAAGGCTCTCCCATGGATCTCCCACTTTCACTCTCAAGGTTGATAATGAAGATGGGAAATTAGTTCTTTCGCAAGAGTCATCTCTCCAAAATCCATCCCTTGTAAAGCTATGGATGGGTGCTATTTATAGGCACCTCATGATGTAGGATGGAGCCTATGTGCAAGGCACATGGGAAATATTCTCTCTAACCACCTTATCCGAGGAGGTGACCTCTCCGAGGATGAGGAAAACCCAGAAAAGGAGATCAACCTCTCGATGAACCCTTCTTCTTAGTCACACCTAACCAATGATCCCCAATCATTCCAAAGGGTCAGGGGTAGTCCCAGAGGACGTCCTGCCACAAAATATTGTCGAGTCTCATAGACCCCCCAAAGTCATGCCACCTCGGCCCGGGTATAGGCTAGTTTAATCGAAGAGTGAATTTATCTCCACTCACCGTCCTCGGGATCGGATCCTTTGTTCGAACTCCATTACGCCCATGGTTCTGGTGCGTAGATCTCGGAAAGCTCCGAGCCCGCAAGTGTTCTGGGACTCATTAACGGAGCGGCTTCTAGATTGCGTTTGAATCCATTCGAAGCCAATTGCTTCGGATCTCTAGATTCGTGGATCCAAATCCTTTCGAGTCCGAGTGCCTCGGATCTCGAGGATAGCTCAATACCCTTTCGAGTCCGGGTCCGAGTAAGTCTCTAAGTTCGTGGATCCAAACCCTTTCGAGGCTTAGAGCGACTTAGCCCGTTTGATGGCGATAAATTCGGGCCCACTAATCTTAGGCTATTGGGCCTAATTAATTTAGTGGGTTCAAATTAGCTCCTCTTACAACGTTTAACTAAATCTATGACTTTTTGGTCTCCAATGGTTTTATCAAAACTTAACATCCCAAATCTTTCACCAAACTGAGAATCTATGCCAGTTTTCACCAATTTACTGTGTGTGTGTACGCTGAGACTGGGGACCTGAGCCAGCTTTCACCAATTTACTGTGCGTGTACGTTGAGGGTGGATCCCACCGGCCTATCATCCGCTTATCCATTTATTTTTCAAAAATCTTTGTTTTATACTCTCTCTCTCTCTGTTTCTGGCAACAAACCTTTCTTTGAATCCAAGTTTTCTCATCAACGAAACCTCTAACAACTTGAGTCTCTCACTGTCTCATTTTTTTCTTTTCCCAATGTCTTGCTTTCATGGGTGGTTGCAGATTTGTAGATTTACCTTTAAGCTATCTTCTTTTCTTTTCCAACTCGATGTGTTCTTGAGAGATTGTGGAGGTGCAGAGAAAATGAGGCCATTCAGTGTATTTCAACTTGTATGGGCTTGTTTGGGACTCTTTCTTGTGACCTGCGAAGCCTTTGCTACAAATGAAGGTCTCTCTATCTCTTTGCTCTTCTTGTTTCTTGCTTGGATCTTTGATTCAGTCACTCTTTATGCACAATTCTGTATAGGGTTTCTATTTTAATGCTATTATTCATATTAGTGTTGCATATGATTTGGGTTTTATGGAGTTCTTTTTCTCACTGAAGATTCTGAGTTTTGCGCGGAGTATGCTCTCTGTCTTCAAGGAAGCTATATGTGAGGACCCACTTCTGGTTTTGTCAAATTGGAATACCCGAGATAAAAACCCTTGTGATTGATCTGGCATTTCCTGTTCTATGGCTCAAGATCATGTCTTGAAGATGTATGATATATGGTCTTAATCAGATTGAGATTTGAATTTATTTCAAAAATGGAAATGAACAAAATCAGTTTCTGTTTCTTTCCCAGTTCAACTGTTGTTGGTTTATTTTTGCACTAATTGGTCGACCGGTGATTTGATGAGAAGTCAAATTCCTCCCGTTGGAACAAGTGATATCAAAAAGAGTTTCTACTTAAATTTTTACTCAAATTTGATGAAAAAAGTAATGCATCGTTAGAGATGCCCTTAGTAGTCGGTAAGAAAGCCCATTGATCCCCACCCCCCACAGGAAAAAAAGGGCCAGAGTTTTGACACTTGCAATAGAAGGCGGCTAGAACCATGATGTGTTTTAATTAAGAACATCAAACGGACACAAGTTTCCTCTTGCAATGCAAAAGCAAAGCATATTTTAACTGACGATTTCCACGCAAACCAAATCTGTAAAACTGAAAAGATTCAAGACCTCCCAACGTGAAAACACAGGCACAACAGCAAAGGCTTTGTCCATGAGAGGTTGAAGATAGACAAGAACACAAACAGGCATTCCACTAATCCCCGGGCAAATAACAAAAGAAACAAAGTAGCAAGTCGCAGGGATGACAAATTGAAAAAGCCTAATATATACAAATTCCCATCACAGTCAATGATATTTCACGAATGCCTCGAAAGTCAAGTGAAATAATTCACCCCATATTGAATTTGGATATAAAAATAAATAAAAGCCCTGAGCAAAGCAAAATCATTCAACCAAGGAGGGGTTGGAAATGCAAGATAGGAGTTGGGTATGGAATCTCAAACAACACACACAGCAACTCTAATACTCATGTAGGATGCGAAAAAAACGAGCATGTCCCCCCAAAAAAAAAAATCCAAAACAAAAAAAATACCAACATACATGGCCCTTTACCCAAAAAACATTTCATCATTAAGAAAAAACAAGAAAACAGACCAACTCATGCAAGACATGATCTAACATTTTCTAGATTGCTTTACTATTGACTGTTGAAGTATTTGGACTTGTTATATATCAGCACTCAACTACACTACCAAATCCCAAAAACAGAAAAGATGTTCACTTTTTAGTTGCTTTCTTACGAAAAGATGTACGGAAAAATAGGGAGATATATGATAACTTATGGTGACTTTTTGGCCAAAATTGAAAGTTGCCAACCGAGACCTAAATCACAATGTCACCGAGCTCAATCAAAGATATAAAATCATATTGAGATGAGATTGCAAACTTTAAAAATCAAGGCCTGTGATGAGGCTGATTAACCTATGTAGGCAATAGAACATAAAGCTAAATTGTGGTCATAAGCAATTGTGGATAATTGATCTTTGATGGTCATCAAATTCAATTACCTAGAGGTATACATGCTTAAAGACCCAAAACAACAAAAACTAGCCTGTATTTTTCATTGGCCAACAAGGTCCAGAATCTTTACACAAAAACAGGACTGCCTTCTTTGTATACACCCAAAGACAAACAGATGCGATATGCTCAGTAATCAAAGAAAAATATGTTCAGAAATTGAAACAATCCTGAACTCCTACACACAAAATCACTTCAGTTCTTGACCCACCAAGACATATCTGTGACACAAACCCACACACACACAAGCACACAAATATAACAATATTAGAAAACCCAAAAAACAGAGTATAAGTAATTGATTAAAGGAACAACTAATTCATGGAGAATAAATAAAACCCAATATCCAAATCAAAATCTGCTAGCAAAATTTGGAACCCAATTCAACAATTAACCAAACACCACAGAGAAACAAACTTAACCAAAAACATATAGCAAAAACTTAAAAGATCAGAGCTTTCATCTCCCAAAACCTCAGTAGAACCTCTCTTAACGATAAGATTTCTGGAACCTAGCACGAGCACCACGTCCACCAAACTTCTTGGGCTCGCAGCGCCTGGGATCAGCAACGAGAAGAGTACGATCGTAGCGAACGAGGATGTCTTTGATCTCCTTCTTGGACTGTTCGTCGACGTACTTCTGGTAGAAGGCGACGAGGGCTTTGGCAATGGACTGGCGGATGGCGTAGATCTGGGAGGTGTGTCCGCCGCCCTTGACACGGATCCTCATGTCGACGCCGGCGAAGCGTTGGCGGCCGAGGAGGAGGATGGGCTCGTAGGCCTTGTAGCGGAGGATCTCAGGCTCCACTAGCTCGATTGGGCAACCGTTGATCTTGATCAGGCCGCGGCCGCGCTTGCAGTAGGTCACAGCCACCGCCGTCTTCTTCCTCCCGAAGCATTGCACTGATTCTACTGGTGGTGCCGCCGCCATCACTGTGCTGTTCTCTCTCTCTCTCTAGAACTCGAACTCGAAAATGGGGAGGTGCGAGAAAACTAGGGTTAGGGTTTTTGAAAGAAAGAGGGATGGTGCATGGAAATTTTGAGTTGATGGACGGTTGAGATGGACTGTGGAAAGTAACTACAAAAGTAGAGTTGCCTCGGAGTGCATCTACTTTCCATGCAATTTTTATTAAGGCCCCGTTTGGGACTTACTTTTTTAGTCAATTAGTCAAAAAGTTACTAAATTAGTCAAAAGTTAACAACTCATACCAAAAAGTCAAAAATTTTCTTTTCTCTCTACTTTTTGCACATCTTTTCGTAATTAGCCAAAAAATTATCACAAACGAGGCCTAAATAGAGACATAGCACTGCTATTTTATTAAATTTTACAAAAATCAATTATATAATTACAAAAAATATATATAAATAAATAAGATTTTTTTTAAAAAAGTGAACTCTTTAATGAATTTTATAAAATTCTATCTAATCAGGTGTATTTTATATTATTTTTTATGTTCGAAAAGAGTTGTAAATTTTGCCTATAAAATTCTAGATAAATTTTATACTGCTACAGATTTTATTTTTAAGCTCTAGATCTAGGTCCAACTCACTACACTACCCAAGAATTTTAAACCAATGTAAATAAATAAACTTTTACACAAGCATAGACATCATCGGTACACAATGTAAATATAAAAATAATTAAATTGTATAATTTTCTTTATTAATTGATGTGATACATGCTCCGCAGCTAGTGCTGAAATCGATTTGCATTGCTTCGGAGGCTATGGTGTTGAAGTAGCGTTGGTGGAAGAGAGCGAGAGAGACAAGGTGGATTGCATTGCTTCGGAGGCTATGATGTTGTAGTGGTGTTGGTGGAAGAGAGAGAGAGACAAGGCGGATTGCGTTGCTTTGAAGGCTATGGTGTTGAGGTAGTGTTGGTGGAAGAGAGAGAGACAAGGCGGACTCCATGCAAAAGCTATCTTCGTGGAACTGGAGCAAGATGGGGAGTTTGTGGATGGCGGGGTGAGATGATGATAATGTCTTAGGAGGAGACCCCCTTGGTTGGTTGGGTCATCCGGTGATGGTCGCACTGCACATTGAATCTAAGAGTCTCACGATGGCGCCATCTTTGACGACTCAGGAGGGATAGAAGAAGCTCAATGGCCACCTCCTTGGTGCCAGAAGCCATGAAACTGTTCTCAATGCAAGGAAATTTTCGGACTAGAGAGAAGTGTTGGATAAGTATCAGCGTGTGAACAGTTTTTATGGTTGCAAAGATACTTTTGTCCTTCAACATCTCAAATTGCCCCATGTTAATGTCAATCATTTTTCCCATCTCTCAATAAACATTCTGGTTTATACATTTCACTTTTGCACTTTGTGTTAAATGAGAGAGCCGAGTACACAATATCAGGCTCTATGACGAACACGTTAACAGTCTGTGGATATCAAATATCATAATATATATATATATATATAACTATATAATTCCAGTTAATTTTAGAAGAGAGAAAAACACACTCCCTTAAGTGGCAGATTCAAGTTGCAAGAACATCATCGTGCCAAAGGGATTGGCCAACTTGCATTGCAAAACCTTGGCATTTATAGACCCTAAGACTTCTATTAAAAAAATAAAATTCTAAAATCTGTCACAAAATTCTTTTGTCACAATGCACTTTCAATCATAGTTACAAAATCCGACGTCCTAAATTCCTCCCGTCTATCTCCCTATCTCAATAGAATTATATTTCTATTATTCCTAGCAAGGTTGTTAAAATCGGGATCCCAAGTAAGATCGGTGAGAGGGTCTGGTGGATCGGATCATATGATCGGATCGATCCTACTTTCTACTAAAAAAAAAAAAAAAAAATAAAATTCTAAAATCTGTCACAAAATTCTTTTGTCACAATGCACTTTCAATCATAGGTACAAAATCCGACATCCTAAATTCCTCCCGTCTATCTTCCTATCTCAATAGAATTATATTTCTATTATTCCTAGCAAGGTTGTTACAATCGGGATCCCAAATAAGATCGGTGAGAGGGTCTGGTGGATCGGATCATATGATCGGATCGATCCTACTTTCTACTAAAAAAAAAAATTAAAATTAAAATTAAAATGATACATATTAAAAATAAGGTGAAAAATCATAAATCTACGATCCTACTTGCGATCCTACCTACGAACCTATACAATCCTACACGATCCCATGTGATCCTACTTGTGATCTTGTTATAACATCGATCCTACAACGATCTGAATCGTTTTGGCAAAGTAAGATCGTAGGATCGTATGATCCGGATCGCGATTTTAACAACCATGATTCCTAGCCGTTGAATCATGAGATTCCTGCACCACATATTTCTCACATGATTCATTGACTTGAGCATTTTGGAACACGAGCATAAAGATATCCGGGGACAAGATCCTGAGCCAGTCAATTGATCATGTTTCAAGAATCTTTTCTCAAGATTTTCACTGTATCATACTTGCAACTGAGAATGTGAGACGGGGACAAGTATGCAGAGACAGGTGAATTTGGGAACATAAGATCCCTCACCTTTTTGGTGCTAATGGAAAACAACAATGGCCCATCAGCTAACCGCATCAATTTTGAACCCACAGGAGACTACATTTATAGTCAACATAACCATCTAAATCTATCAAAGTAACATCATTGATAGTCATACCCAGCAGTAATCCGGGACAATGACACTACAGGAGAAACTTACAGCGTTTACAAACAACAGAACTCTGGCATCAGAAGACAGTGATTGGTGGTCCCTCTACAATCAACCAATTAGATCCTTCACTAGCTCAACAGAGAGATCTAGAGCTTTCTGTACATTGCATTTAGTTAGAATCGAGAATTTACGAGCAGCTGCCTACAGCCGCGGTTATCTGAGTTAGGTCTAGTAAGTGCTTTTATAAAGTAGTTGCGGATCTCCGGTATTGTAAGCTGGATCAGATGAGAATACCTGTAAAAATTAGAAATAAATAATCATTTTAATAGGCAATGGAAGCACAAAGCTAACCTAGCGATGAACATGAAAACACCTTTCGTTTTCATTCTAAAATGAATCAGGATATGTAACATAATTCCACACTTGGTAATCATGCAAGATTGTTTTCTCAAGGTTTTTTGACATAGCAAGTGCTCATTCATTTTAACAATATCAAGTTTGCTACATCACATCTCTTGAGATTTTGATCAAATTAAAAAATGCAATTTTTAAAATTATAGAGGATATGAATTTTGTTGTGTTCTCTCAGCAGCATAATTTATCAGAGCCACTGAAAATTGCCATAGTTACTCATACTCCATCTGATCTCAGGAATGACAGAGAAAAACTGAATAAAGCATTTCCTTTCGTTTTTCTAGAACCAGTTTATATCATGCATCATACTCAATACATATCAGTATAATATTTAGTAGGTACATGACTTGGCCCCATTATGTGATTGATCGCCATAACTGCCGATGTCATACATGCAGATCGGGGACATAGCAGAAAGAACCATACAACCATATAAAATATGAGAACAAAAAAAATAAATAAATAGCTGAATACTCTTATAGCAACTGACACTGAAAAATGTATGAAGGGAAGATATGTTGTACATCAAAAAAATTTCATCTCCTTTTCCCTTCGAATGTTCTAAAAACAATATTCAAATAAGCCGCAGTACACGAAGGTTAGAGAAAGCGCATACCCTGGCCTAGCACTTAATTTTTCAAACTGCTCCAAAATGAACAAAATGCATGTATGCCTCAATGATATGGCGTGGAATGCTTCTGACAGCTCATACATGCTTGAAACATTTTCTAATGATATATCCTGAAGATAAAAAAAGAAGCTTATTCAGACAACTATCTGATGCAAAAACTATGAAGGTGAATATTCATAAATACATCTCAAACTCACCTGTGCAATGGTATATTCACAAAGCCGCTTGAGTCCTTCCAAGAGATATTGATCAGCAGCTCTAAGGAGATCTTGGGCAATATCCAATGTAATATCCACTGATCCAGTGTATATGAATCTGCACATTAAAAATAACCCATATATTGAAAATCTCAGGACCATAGACTTTTATTGAAATTCAATATTCTCGGAAGTGCATAACCTCATCATCAACTCAAAAACTTCCCATCTTATATTTGGAATCTCTATGTCTCTTGCATCCTTCTCCTGTAATACAAGCGAAGAGCAAATAAGAAACATAGATCAACACAAGTCGGTCCATCTTTTCTGTTCTGTAATCTGTAGCTACATTTTTCCCTATATACATCCACAAACAATTATAGTACCTCGAGCACCCTAAAAGCAAAAAACAAAAAAAGAAAGTTCCAATGAGGTTGCATTCTTGACTACAACTCATTCAGAGAAAGAGAGCAAGAGTGCTCTAAAAGAGCCAGTTTTGAAAAATTTATGCGTACACAACTCACCCGATAACCACCATCAAACATTGCACGGAAAGCATCAGAAGAAGCAAGTAGGCAAATTCGATGGGCATAGAACCGTTTACCTGAAATGAAAAAGAGTCCACTAATGCTGAGTGAATTGGTATACACAGTTACAAAATATTTCTCTGGAACATATACTCCCCTGATGTAAACAAGCAAAGAAGAAATTAAGATCTACAACCTTCAACTAAAAAGGTAACATCAGACAACGTAGGATTGTTTACATATTGTTCCCCCAAATACACCTGCAGTAAGAATTCTGTCATCATATTAACCAATTTTTTATACCAAATGGAAAATTAAGATAACAATTTATTCTCATATAATTGAAATATAAGGAGAAACAAGTAATGGTAAAAAACAAAGAACCATATGGGAAGCAAGCTATATTTGATATACTTAATATTCAATATTTAATGCTGGCAAACAAACTCTCTATCTACCCATGTTGTTATCACGATAATTTCTCATTGCCGAGTGTGAAGTCAGTTTCTCAAGGAAGCGCAAAAAAATCAATAACAAGAAAGAAGTAGATAGATAGTTTATTTTAGATGTTTACAACATCATTGATTTCAAGTTAGGATACTTCCCCATCTCACTGTTATAAATATATTAGTAAATTACAAATTTTCATAGAGCTATATTTGGATGGAGGCTTTGAACCAGCATGCAAGTTCTAGACAGCACTGTCTTTGGAGAAGGAACTGATATACGAAGTGCTGCTTTTGTATATCAGTCACAGCAGTATATCTTGATTCAGATCATGGTCATCAGAACTTAAAAAATGAAACAAAAACAACAACAAAAAACTTGTTTTGACTTGTATTAACCAAATGCTGCATAGACATAGAATAGTCATCCATTGTTTAATTTATGATAAAAAGTAAGATATTAGCATTAACCTCATGGTACAATAGAATATAGCTGGCATATAACTCTAAAAGGTAAACATTGACGGAAATATGATAAAAGTTAAATCCCGGCTAGCAGTAATTACTGTAGAAGCTGGAACAAAAGAGTAGAAAAGTAATAGATATCAGTGCTCACACATTTCTGGAAATTTGGTCAAATCAACAAGCCCAAACCCCTTTAAGACAGAGGTCTTTAATACAGCACAATTAATATTTCAACAACTGTCTAGTAAAAAGCTAACAGCCTCACTACTCTACTCTAGGACCCTAACTCTTGCAAGATGCATGTATACAATTAAAATAAACAACAGATTCAAAATTTCTTAAATTAAAAGCCAACTGATATTTTCATGAAATCTGCCAAATACTAGTCCTGCTAATTGTTTGAAATAATTCCAAATCTAACAGAACACATGGGCCAAAATAAACTAACAATAAAAAGGACACACACCTGTGGCGTCGGAGATGGAGGAGCCGCATCAATGGGAGAAAGAGTCGTGGCTTTGTTAGCCAACTTGTACAAGGCTATAGAACCATCAAGTTGCTGCTTTAGGTTCGTGGAACCAAGAAGACCAAGTAGTAACTCTAATCCTGCACACAAGTGATATAAGCAATTGATTTCAATTATGTCAAATGTCAGCCTAGAAAATGACATACCATTGTTATCAATGAATATTGTTCTCTGATCCTCTGCAGAACAAAGGTTGGCAAGAGCCAAAGCAACTCGTTTTTGAACAGTCTTCTCTGCTATGCGCATCAGATATAACAAATGGCTCAAAACCTACAAGGGAGAAATTAAGGGATTTAGATTCAAGAATGTGCATAAAAAAGCACTAGAACTAAACCATAATCATATAATTTAGCATCTATACACAAAAAAAAGCTCACCCGTCCCTGAATCTTCTCCTCTAATCTTTTCAGTGTCTTGGCTACACAATGTACTCAATAAAGTTTATAATTATAGAAACTAAAAATTTGAAGACAGCGTATCATATAAGAGGAACTGACAAAAACAAGAAGGAAATTTTGGTATATGATAATAATGGGAAGGCACAGATATAAACCACACTTTGGGAACCTTCAGTAGTTTGGCCATCTTGTTGTTCAATATAGGCACCTATCTGAGAACAACTTTGGCCCACTTAACATGACTAGACATCAAATTTTAAAACCATGCACCTACATAGATGCCTGCTTTTTTCCTTTTCTTGTCACCCTGCCACCGCATGGAGGTATCCATTGCATGGAACCACTCAACATCATTTGAACCAGAATATGGTGTCATTTTCATTTCACAAGAATCTACTAACCAGAAATACAAAGTTTGTTTTTGCTTTTGTTCTTTTCACAAAAAGAATTTAAAGCAATTACAACAAAAAATACTTCCCATCTTTTTTTCTTTTTTTTGTTCATATTCCCTATCTTTGAAAAATAACTTCCATCTCCTCAGTTATGACCTACACAACCAAAGTTTTGAAAAGTTCAGAAATTCAATGGATGCATTAACTTAGACTCATCATATACACCCAACAATCATTAGTTAGCTGGAAGACAACATCTGTAGGTACAATGGCAGAAAATTTATAGGTCAACCGTATCAACTAATTGTAATTTTTTAGTAATAAGAGAAAGAAAGAAATAAGCACTAACCTGTGCCAACCTACCCAGTGCAAAGGCCGACATTTCTCTAAGCTGTACGTCTGGGGATTGAAGCATCTCAATCAAAGTCTGGGCAGCTCCTCTCTGCACAATACGCACTTGCAAATAATCTTACTTTCTTAAAAACGAAAACAATAAAAAGATAAAAGGAAAACACACAATTAAATCTTAATTAAAAGAGCAGCACAAAATTATGAGTACAATTTTTAGAAGGAAAATTATGAGTACAATTCTATCCACAACTTTCAGGACCAAAGAGAGAGAGAGAGCAAATACTGCATAACCAAAAAAAATTCCTATAAAAGAGCAATGTTATGGTTGAGACTAATTGCAAGTGTGAATCCCACAACAAAGACATATATTACAACACATATTAATGAGAACAATTGAGACTAACTACTTCAGACTTCAATAAGAATAGCTCAGAAACACAAACATAGTTATAGATGTTCATTATAACTACAATCAATTTGCCATTTTCCTTTTGTCAATTTACCATCATAATTGCCATTTGAAAACAAAAACTATCGAAATTCACCCATACAACAAATATAACATATCCGGGTTTTCAGTAGATTCGCTCTCAACCTCGTAAGACCATTATGGGTTTTTAGTAGGTTCACCGTTAACCTCATCCATGTATGTGATTGTGTACATGCGTGTATATATATATATATATATATCAATGTGTAGAAGATACCTGCTCGTCAATTCCTATCAATTCCTGTCTAAGGCCTTTGAGAAGAGTCACCTTAAGATCAATCTCTATTACAAGATCCACAAAACCTGAGACCAAAGCATTCAAAGAAAAACACAGCATAACTAATAAATATTCAAAGAAATACATTCACCTAAACTTAATTATATTTAACATGAAGATTACAAAAAAGTTATAGCTGTAACAAATCATAAGCAAGTGGTAGAAGAAAAACTATTTTAATATCAAATCACATAATTTGTTTGCCAGAATTAATGTGCTATTGTTGGAGGATACCCATATGACTCATGCAGATGTCGCAGAAAAACTAATAACTGTTTCAAAAAGGAATCACGGCAGCAAAGATGCTATAGAGGTAAGAGAACACTGTAATCAGCATGGCCTGTAGCCAGCAAAGAAATAAACCAGCCAGCTGTAGACGTCCCCGAACGTCCCAGGAGGGAGATTCCGTTTTGTTCTTTGGACTAACTACAGTTCAGGACTCAAATGTCACGGTCCTGTATCTAATCTCGCAGAGTGCAATGCAAGACCGATGAATCATCAAAGAGTCCAAATCTGGCAAATCGTTTTTAAAAACATATTTTTTTGAAAGGAGTGCCAAACATAGACTTCTTTGCCAGATACAGAGTCGCCACCTAAATATTTTATTTTTGGAAAATTTAGGAAACCCCGACTCATTTGCCTAAGCCCACGTGTCCGTCATCACCAAAGTTGCCTCGGCTCGGGAACTTCGGTACGATTGGGGAAGGTCACTTCGTGAGCACCCCCGCTCGCCCGATCAAAGATCGGCCTCTACTAACCATGATATCGGGTTTCGAAAACATTATGCATTCTTATTCCGGTTATTAGTCTAGATTTACTATGTGATGCGCACAGCATATAAGTATAGACTGGATGCCTGAATTGGAACAACACATCTCATGTTTGCTTTTGAGACGGTTTGCTACTCGCAAGTAGGCTAAAATGCGAATTTGCCACCCTCAGGTGGGCTTAAAAAACAAGATGATTTGCCACTCTCAAGTGGGCTTAAAACTCACAGTCAATGCATTATTCCAATTCAGATAACCCAACCTTCACCAACAGGCATTCAAGTAGATATATCACATAAGCACATAGCCTCATGGTAAGAATGCTATCATGGCAGTCACTCACACACATGCAAGGATACTTAAACATAAACACTTACCGAGTACTCCAGGCCAAAACAAAAGCTATGTTAGAAATCCATGCATGATCCTAACTATACAGAAATGCCTAATGCAACACATGCAAAATGCAACTATAGTAGGCTCGGCTATTCTAAA